TATTGTATGATATTAAATTATGATGAAACCAAACTTTATACAGGTGAAAATGATTCAATAAGTGTTTTGGATGTTGATTTTCAAAATTAGAAATTAGATTTTAATTAAAGTTTGCCAGCTAAGAAAATTTATAGTATAAGTTTAAATGAAGAAGAAACATTTTTGGCTACTTGTTGTGTTGATAAATCAATACATTTATGGGAAATAAAATGCAAAACTATAGAACTATATTAAATTATTAAAACACATTAACTTGGATATAATTTATGCTTTATCAAACATACTTAATTTATTTGGTTACCTGCAGAACAACATAAAATAAACTGTATCTATGTATATGATTTATAAAATGGTGAATTTTAATTGCAAGAAGATAAAATAATTCATTTACTATAAGATGATACTTGTTTTGATAGTTTCTTATTCCCAATAGTAATTAATAAAGAAAGAAACATTATTGCAGTTAGACATAAAGTTACTGTATATTTGATACAAGTATTTTAAAATGGTAAATATAAAATTATAACTCATAAAAATTTAAAAACAGATGAAATTTATGGAACAATGACAAATAATGGAACTGCATTAATTTTATGGGATAATTTAAGTAGGAAATATTAGATATTTGATATTGAAATCTAATGATAATAATTTATCAATTAATGATAAATATTTATAAATAATTATAATAATCAATCATTTTATTAATATTCATTCTAATAAAAAAGAATTATAAATAAGATATTTCTAAAGTTGACTATCAAATTATAAATGGAAAACTCTTATTTAATGATTGTGGATTATATAAAATAGTAAAAAGAATATGAAATAATTCTAATAAAATAAGTTGGGCATATTTGTAATATTATATAATTAATTTTTTTTAGATTATTTCAAATCTTATAAAATTGATAATATTTTTATAGAATTTTGTAATAGATTAAGCTTAAATGTATTGATTAAAGGCTTAAAATAATATAAAAAAAATTATGCTTTAAAATAAAAACTCAAAACTAGTAGTATTAATTGGGTATATTGGCCATGGTAAAACAATTCTTTTTAATAAAATTTGTTAGAAAAAATAACCTGTATAATTTGTTGGACCATCTGTTACTAGAGAATCAGTTCTTTGTTAAAGCGCTTAGGGACAGATAAAGATAAATTGGCTCATGTAATTTGTATTGCTACAGCCCTAACATTTGGATTAATTTATCAAATTTTAATAATTGTTTAGTTAGAAAGGCTAGTAACAATGAAAGAGAGGTTAAGACCGATGATCTAATAGTAATTTAAAAGATTCAAAGATATCATCACAGTTGTTGTTACTCATTGGGATAAAGCAGAAGAACCAGAAAAAAGAAAAAAAGAATTAATTGATTTAATTAAAGGGTATTCGTATCAAAAGAAACATCTGGAAAAGATTTATGTTAAATGATTGAGGTCACTCTTTAGAATTGTGATTAAAAAGACAAAATTTGTTAATTATACTTTATAAAAATCATTATTAAATTTTATTAGATTTAAAATGTTGAAAATTTCAATTTTTTTTTTTTTATTAATTTCCAATATCATAATCTGAGATATAATCTCATTTTGATTTTATTGATTTAACAGATGATGTAATTGATTAACTCAATAAAGCAAAGGGCTAAGTTAGTGTTTAATTCTAAAAAACTGCAAAAGCAATAAAAGATTTATTAAGAACTTTTCAGAGACTGATTCAACAATGCCTGAAGTTATGCATTAATTAACATTAGCTGTAAAAGATTATGATGATGAAAAATTTTTTAAATTTGAAAAAGATAACATGGATCTATGTTTGATTTCTCTTGCTTAAGAAAAGATGAAACTTTCCTAATAGCAATGTATTAATTATATTAAATAGTTTGTCCCTATTGTTGGGAGATTTAGATGAAAGTCTTTGGTTGCAATGAACAAACCTTTTGCTGGAAATTGCATGAAAGTGAAGATAATCATTTCAAATGATCAAAGATTCCCATAAGATTTTAATTTTAATTTTAGGAATCTGGAGTCATTTAGAAAGATTTGAATATTTAATTTTGAAAAGAAGAGAACAATGATATACTTTAGAATGAACTTGAGTTTTTAGAAGTAATTACCATGATAGGTAAAGAGAATACAGGTAGTTTTTTGAAATGTAAAGGCAATATATTAACAATTCTTTATAAAATGCGCATCCTTTTGAAATTTAAAGGGAACCTATTAGCAATTGATCAGAATAATTAAGACCAGGAAATATACAACCAAGACCTATACCACAAACAGATAAACCACAAATTTTTAGAAATAATTTTGAATTTTTAATTTAGGAACATTTAATTTTTGAAAGAAATGATAAAATTAAAATATTGGATGACAATATCAAATAAAATAAAATCGCTCTATATAGTGAGGCAATATATAGCTTTGTTATAATGAATAAGATTATTCGTAATAATGAGATAAATTTACGTGAAAATAGTTTAAAATTTTTTCATTCTGTTCTAATTGCAAAATATTATACTAAAAATAGGGCAATAAATCCACATAATATTAATTATCATTATTCTTATTAGATCAAAATGATATTGATATTGAAATACGAAATAAATTTATTAGTTGCAAAGAGTAGTAACTTACATAAAGGATAACTTCTCTCAAACCATTTTTATTTAAAATCTATATTTTTAAATAAATAAAAAAAATTTGAAAATGAATAAATAATTTTATGTGGATCACAATTATAAATAATTAATTTAAGAAAAAATATTGAATAAAAAAAATAACAAAGATTGCATTTATATTTTACTTTTAAGCAATGAAGATGGTCGAAAATAATCAGTGTATATATTAAATGATACCTTTTATCTTATAGATTCTCCAATATTTTAATTTGATGAGGATTCAGAGTAATTAGAATCAAAATTTACTCAAATTATTTAAATACTAATCCAATTCATTATATTATATTTTGTCTCAAATTGTAAAGATCAAGTTTAATAAAAGAGAGAATATTATCTATGTCAAAGAAATTTCCACAAATTAATACATAACTATTTGGTGCATTCATAATTGATTAAATGAATGATGTATCAATATCTTCTGAACATGAAATAATTAATTGCATCAAAGAATTAATGCCTTATTTAAGAAGAATAATATTTCATCTATTCTAAATCTGAGTTAAATCCATTAGATTTTATTAATATTTTATTTCTTATCACACTAATTAAGTCAAATTTATACTCTCATTTTGACAATACCTATAATTATGATAATAATTTTTATTTTTTACCCCTTATAAAAATTTGATAGATATCTAATAATAATAGAGTCACATATTTTTCTTTATATTTCTGATAATGATTCCAATTCTACAATTGGTGTGGTTTTGACAAGCCTAAGTAATTTTGATAACTCTTTTTCAAGTCTCACATTTCTTAGATATTGGCCTAAATATATCTATTATTTATCAAATGAGATTATTTCTCTTGCTCCAATGTTTAAAAACTTTAAGAATTGTTCCTCACATCATTCTCTTACCTCTTTATGACTCACTTATAATTTTAGAAGGATTTGGACACAATTCTACAAGGCCTTGCTCTTTAAAAGCATCATTCTTCATATTACTCAAATAAAGAGGAAATGATTTTTTGGATGAAGGGTGTAGTGAATAACTTAAATCTCAATATTTGAGAGTATAATGAGGAGAAAAAGAAATATTACTGAAATATCCAAAGAAAAATTATATTTTATTCTGGCTCAAATATCTTTGAGAATAAGAGCAATGGTCTTGAAAATTAATTTTTAATTGTAAATTTATGAACTGAAGGAGTATATAATTAATTTGACTTATAATATTAGGAAATAAAAGCAAAAAACATAAGAGACTCTTTTTTCATTTATTTAAAAAGTCTTCTCTTCATTTACCCCTGCTGAATTTTAGTATTTATTTAATAAGAACATATTTGAGTATTATTGAAATATGTATTAATAGAATGAGTATAATTAGTACCCTACTCCAAATTAAAAAAATTTTAAGAAGCTCTCCTCATTTCCTTCTATTATTTATTTTAAACCTCTCTTATAATTGTTACACAATTGATGGGGTTGCATTAGAAGAATCAAATTTAGATATAAATTTAAAGGAATAGGTTTTGGAAATTGTTGGACAGATGCTTTCTTTTAATACAAAAGCTATGCACCATTTCTGTATAGTTTGGGAATTTATAACGAGCAAAAGAAAAGTTATACATAAGTATTAATGGAAAAGGCATAAAATTATATTCTAAATGGAGAATATCTTAAGTCAACAGAAGAAGGATTTTTTGGCATATTTGTTATTTTAAACAAATATACAGGTCAAGTGAGCTCTCATGATTTTTAGAAGTATTTACATGAAGGACAGAGTGAAGAATTTTATTAAGGATTTATAAATTAATATAAATAATAATTTGGGGGAACTGATGATATAATATATATTGATAGGAATAAGAACATAATTAAGAATTTTGAAGTTGATATTTCAAAATCTCAAAAATTCAATTTAGAATTATGATTAAATAAAGGAAAAAAAGTGTTAATTTATTAAGGATCTAGAGACATCATTTGTAACACTCCATCTGTGAATTATATAATATATATTTGAATGGAAAAAATAGCCTAAAAAGATATTTACATCTAAACGCGAAGGATATGAATAGAATGAAACAGCAGAAACAATAAGTTATTATAAAAACTTTTATTTTGCTATATTATACAATGCTGGGCACTTTGTTCATAATGATTTACCAATAGCTACTTTAAAAATGGTAACCCATTTCCTAAACGATGATTAAAATTTGAATTGATATATATTGTTATGTAAAATAAATATTTTTTTTTTATATCTAATTTGAAATTTATTTATATTGCTATTCATAATCATCAAATTACATTAAATTTTTTTTAAGTATCGTATCAACTCATTATTATCAAATCTATCTTAATTTATTCTGATTCAGTGTACAAACCTACCTACATATGTACTATAAACCATTAAACTCTATCCAGTATTCATTTTTCTTTTTTAATGAAAATAGAAATTTAGAAATACGGATCAATTTTTTGAATTCATTTAAGAACTAGTGCTAAATAATTAAAATATTCAAATTTTTAAGTTTAATTATCCTAATTGAATGCCTATTTGTTATTACTTTGAACTAATTTTGAAATCAATTGAATATTTATTTATCCATAATAATCATCAGATTTCAATGATGAATTATACTAATGCTTTCTCTAAGTATTTTTTATTATATCATCAAATTAAAATTAATTATTATTATTTATTAATTTAAATCTAAAATAGTGGAAAAAATGTTACTATAAAAAAAATTGTAGAATTCATCTTCTTTTTCAAAATTGTGATCTTACAAAAATTTTATGAATAGGAATTAATAAATATAATATTATAATATTATGTAGCTAATATTAATTAAAAATCCACAAACATAATCTATGTATACTATTTTGATATTCATATTCAATAACTCATTTCATAATTTTCTATTCAAAAATTAATTTTTTTTATTTGATTCAATTTCGCTTACCAATTTAGACACACATTATACTTGTCCTTATAAAGCAGAAATGATGTTTTCTGAATTTTATTAGAAAGAATTATTCAGTTTTACTTATTTTTCTTAAAATTTAAAATTCTCTTACTAGATTAACAATCCTTATGAATAGTTTGATTGATTCCTTTTTTCAATAAAATTTGGACTTAAATATTCCTATTTTACATCATATTTTTATATTTTCAATTATGTTAAGTTTTTAATCATATCGGTATACATTTTATGAACATTGTTCTAACATGACCTTATTGAAGCTATTAATTTATCTATTTTTTCAATATCTTCATCCAACATAGATGTAAAATCTTTGCTAATAAGATTTGAAGTAACATTTTCTGATCAGAGTTTGTGTCTTTTAATTTCACTTAAAAAGATGATACATTTCTTTATAAATTTATCTATTATTCATCATCTTTTTGTTTTATTAAATGGAAATTTGTTCCTACTAAAATAAAAGGAATGTTTGATTGAGCAGCTTCTGGCAAATAATTAAAAAAGTATTCATCTAGTTCTTTATTAGCTTTTACATCTTCAGAATTAGTGAGAACATAAACTAAAACACAACAATCCATTTCCTAATAATATTTGTGAATAGATTCTTAATAAGTTTCTTATCCAGATGTATACCATAACTAAATTAATTATAATATCTTACTTATAATATATATTAAACATCATCAAGTATTATTAGTTTTACATGAGCATCGATACTTTAGTATACTCATATTTTTCAAGAAATTTTCCTTTCATAATTTGATTTACAAGAATGATTTATTAGCCCTAAATATTGATAATCAAATTAATATTCTTATGAACTTATAAGAATAATTTTGAAGGCATTGTGTTATTCACTTGACATATGGAATTTTATAATAAATATGAATTAAAAAGTATATAATTTTTTTAATCACAATCAAAATTTTATAGATTAAATTCCAATATTATTGATTTATTTAGAATTGTATTCATTACTTATAATCTTATAAATAACGCGAATATTTAGATTTTATTACTTAAAGAAAATTTAATCTCTCATATTGAATATAAAAATATACTTTAATTGAAACTCGTTAAGACTTAACTAATGCGAAAAATAAATAAAAATAAAGTCTTTTAATTATTCATTTTATTTTATAATTAGAATTTTGCACATTAATTTATTAGTATTATCGATTTTTACTCTAAGTTTCATATACTATATCTTATTTAAGATCTAAATTATTATACTTTTATTACTCAAAATATTTATCATTGATGAAAATATCATCTTTTGGATTATAATTTTTGAGTTGAATATGAATGGATAGAGTTAAATAACTATCTTAATCTGTTATTTATGGTTGAAACATTGTAATTACTTCTTACTGATTATATTCTAAAAGTTTTGCGTTAATTAAATAAAGACTAAAAAAAGAAATTATGACTACTCTAAAAACACAAGTTATAGATATTATAACCTTGCAACTTCGATTTTATGATTTAATTTTAAGTGTATTCTATTCAAATCAATGCTACTTGATAAAATTAGATTTTCTTTTCATTGTAATAGGCAATTCATTATTTTGACTAATTACTATATATATTTCCATTTTTAATAATATTTGTTCATCAACTATAAGTTTTTAAACCTAAAATTACTGTTTGGCTATTTATAAAAAAAGTAGAGTCTTACCATGAGATTTGTGCTTATAAAGAAATCTCAGAAAATTAATCATACATATACTAAAATTTTATATGCTCACATCATTTCCATTAACACTAAGAACATTCTAAGTTTTATCTAAATTAATAATAATTTTATAAAAGCCTTAACAAAATTAAAGCAATATAGTACGAGCATTTAGCATTATATCAATATCAATATATTATAGAACAGATGGTAATCATTAAATTTAAGATTCAATTCAATTTAAAATTAAATTATATAAAAATTTTTATTTTGATAAAATATTTAATATCTTTAGATTAATTATTTATCAAATTCTTGTAAAATCTTCAAATATTTCTTCTAAACTGCTATGCATTACAAGAAAATGCATTAAATGAAACACTGGATTAAGTTCCATTTTTTTCATACTTGAAGCGATTAATCTATAAATTATTATTCTTACAAAAATTGTAAGTGGTTCTAATAGTACTTGTGATATTATTATATTTCCTACAAAGACAATTAATATTTTATATTATTCTGATTGCATTGTTATTCTAAAATATTTTAATAAATACTTCAGTAAGTAAAAAATTTGCATTAACAGATTGGGTGTCATCAGTAATAAGATAAGAATAAGCTGGCTAATGATAGCAGCAAACTTTTTGAATCTATAGATAGCTTCAATTATCTTATAAAAAATTCTCATTATTAAAATGATAAGAGGATTTATAATAATGAATAAACAAATGAAAAGAATTTAATTATTTAACATCTAAAATTCAAGGATTGTTAAAGTTAAAAATAAATTAAATTAGGAGAGTACTTCTAAAATTCGATAACTAAGTTAAATACTTTAGTCTCGATAATTGAATAGTGAAATCGATTAATGAATTTACTAAAAAAATAATTGAATTTTACCTTTAATTTTTCCTTGAACACTTTAGAATTACCTTTATAGACAAAATTTCTATTATGTAAGATGCTTGGGGGACTCAAATTTCTTTATTCATTTTCAGGACTCTCTTACTATTCTTTATAATCTTTATATCTATAGACTATAAAAACAGACATAAAAATGAATGATAAAGAGCTAGTAGAAATTTGTAAAATCAATTAATTATCTGATTTGGAATCAATAATAAGATCAGATATTTAAATAATAGTATTGTTTACATTTGCAATACTAAAATTTTTTGAGGATAAAAGGAAAATATCACCAAACTTATTACATTCGCAAGTTAGTTCTATAGTATCTTTTTGTTATTCTTGATTGAGATTACACTAATAAATTTTTCCAAAAATTGTTCTAATTACACACTAAACTTCATATTCAAATAAAAATTATGTAGTATTTGAGCAAACTTAATAGGATCCAAATTTAGTACCATAAGTTGATGAAAAATTTTCATAAGATATAAATCTATTATGATAAGAATTTTTCAATGATATTAGGTAATAATGCTATGAGTAAATTTCTAAGGTTTAGTCATTAAATTAAGTTGAGAGTAAATCTTATAGATCTGAAGTGAATCTTAAAGGATTCGTTTAAAAATAAATAGATTCAAATTAAACATAATCTACAAGGAAATCCTCTTTTGCTGGTTCTATATCAAAATATTGATTGAATGATTATTTTGTTATTCTTTTTATTTACCAAACTATTTCATTTCCATTAATTGCAAGAGGCTTTTAGTTCACTATTATTGTATTTTAAGTTTCCTATGAAATTAAAGCAACGAACTGTTACAAATCCATAATAGCTGAATAAAGAATTTCATTTTTTACATTTATTGATGAAAAATTAGAATAAATATCATCCAGATAGTATAATAAACTCCTTAAGCAATCTTACGAGATTTAATACTGTTGAAAGATTTATTCATTCCATGTGTATGAATTTAATTGAATATCATCTTCAAATTTATTTTTTAGTTTCCTAAAATAATTTAGAGTTCTATTTAAATTCTGAGTATTTTCTTTTAAGTTTTCTATTGTTGCTGTAAAATTAATTTCAGTCTCAGTGGTATTGCTTGTAATAAAAAAATGATTTGTGTTTTTATCAAAGCAGCTTTGATTAGGCAAATTATCTTAAGGTTTGCTTTAAATGGATTAAATTAAGAGTTGTTTATATAGTTTTAGAGCTTAAAATTTCAAGATATTTTCATTTTCATCTGCTAAAATTGATTACTAAAGCATATTTAGATAAATTTAAGAATGCAGCTCATCACATTTTTAATTCAATGCTTCAAATAACAATGATATTTTTTTTTATAAATTCAAATTCTAAAATTAAATAGAGGAACAATTTATTTTTGCAAAATTTACTGTAATTTATTCAAAAATCTGAGTTATTGATCCTCCATTATCAAGTACTTAAACTAATATTCCAATTTTTGAAGAATCAATAGGTGAGGGAGTTTAAATTAAAAATTAATTTTAAGTTTAAAATGGATAAAGTATTAAGGAATTATCTGAAAATCCTTTTTAAAAATCAGCTAAGTCTGATTCTCTCAAAAATAACCTTAGCTAATATTGATATGGAGAATCATTTGATTGATCGCAACTACTTGCAACTCCAAGATCAGTAAGTGCTAAGTTATTTGAGCGTGTAATATATAATTTTGAACATTAAGGAGGCTAATTGATAGATATTTTAATAGTATTTAGGCTTGGCATGATATTATTTGTGTATTAAGCTGCAAATTTAAGATTGATCTCATCACCAAAATTTAATTCTTTAATGCTATTAAATATTTTGAATTAATGGGAAATATATGGTGGTTGCAGTATTTCTATTATCTCATAGTTATAAATAATTGCAATTGATAAATCTAATAGATGTGGTTTTTAATCAAAAGGGATGAGAAAAGTAAAATTTAGTTATTCATAATTATTAATTTTTCTCATTAAGTAACCTTTATTGAATTCAAGGTCTAATTTAGGGAAATCATCATCAAGGTAAACAATAATTTAATCAAATTTTTAAGTTTATTAAAATTTTGTAACAATTACAGTCCATTATTAAACTGCGAAGGTAGAAATCGAATTCCTCTTTATGAATTAAAATGTAGCAGTCTTGTTAACATTAATGATTTTCTTTTGTACATTTTAACATGTACTATTCATTTATATATCTTTACAAGAAACTTCAATAGACAAATCTGGATCAGTATTCCAATCAAATATTGTATCTAAATCCTTACATTCTATTTAGAGTTTGAGATCTTTTCTTATACTTTAAATTCCTCGATTATTAAACTAACAAATAAATCCAGCAAATGGTATATCAAAACTAAAAATTAAATATTGGGTTTGGTTAGTATCTATATTTGTAGCCGTCACTTAAAATGTATATGTTGAATTAGGGCTCAAAGTATATTATGGAATAGTTATATAGATCATTTCAAATGAAGTAGATTAACTTGAAGAATTTAATTATGACGAAATTGATCTTTTTGGCTCTCTATCAATTTCATTCATTAAAATCAAATATTTTGAATTATCTTTTGAAATTGACTAATCTGAATTGCCAGCAGAAACCCCAATTGTAATTGGCTAATAAACAAAATAGGAAAGTTTTGCATTTATATTAATTTATGGAAGAATTCCTGAATGAGTGTATATAGTAAATTCTGTTTAAGAGTTGATATGGATGAAATTTTCATATTATATCTTAAACTTTAGTTCTGCATCTTTTGGTAAAGTATGTTTAGGTATTAATAAATTATATTCTTAAACAAAATTAATTTAATCTAAAAATTGGCTTAGGGTAGAACTATCTTCACCTGTAATCATCTGATAACTCCAAATAATATTATCTAATTTTCTATTTCCATTGTTTTTAATTGATTTTATATAAACTGAATTATCTGATAAAGGATTTAATTTATGTAAAGGCACGTGATATTAAATTGATGGAGG